ATGGTTAGTAAAATGCACAAGTGTAATAGGTTTAGAGACAGTGAAAAGTTGCTAAAATATTATTTTAGCATGAAGTTGCCCTATCTACTTTGAGGAAAGTAGTAAACATAAACGCAAGAGAAGAAAACTGAATTCCACCAGGTGCATGGGGCTTTATTAAGCAAAGAAAATAGGTATTTTAAAATTTTAGCAGATAAAGCAGTAGTTTCCTGTCCCAATGCAACGGTCCCTTTTCAAGAAATACTATGCAAGAGCAGGACAGGAACATATATATGAATAAGATACATGAATAGAAAAATTGGTTTTGAATATTTTCAAAGTAAACTTGGCAAAAAAATGTTTAAATTTACTAAATAAAAAATTATTTTTTGTGTACTTGCTTTTTATAAAAAAATAATTTGTTTCTGCATACTAAGAAAATAAATTTAAAAGGAACTACCACTCCCAGAAAGTACAAATTTCAGTCAAACTTATATTTTGAGTCCATATTTTTTATTTATCTTATCCAGGTTATGGATTTTGTCACAAAATACGTAGAATTTATGAAAAAAATTATTATTTTTTTAGTAATATTTACCTTAAACCTTTATATTTGTAAACGAATATATTACAAAATAACCAATAAAGCTTAAGTAACTGCATAAAATCTAAAACCGGCGATATATCGAATTTCAAACACTATTTCCCATTTAATACTAACAATTCTGTCCCACGTGACGTCACCGTCAGTCAGCTGCATGCGCAGGAACACACCGTTATTCTGTGTATCGTGTTGTTTGCAATTTTATACATCGATCGAAAAGTAACTCTGTAATATTTATTGGTTTAGGCAACTGAACATACTTTTCGCGACTGGTGCGCCATCTGGCATAGAAAATATTGATTATCATGGTATCCAAACGTAAAAGAGGACCGTTGGGGGCAGCACCTCCCGGTGCCCTCTGAAATTTTTATGCAATGTTCAATTTTAGAAAAAACTACTTACTCTTTTCAAAAATGGTAAATACACAAGTTGTTCAGTGGCAAATGAAGAATGGCGGATGATAACATTTATACGTATATGACTTGTTTTATATTTTTTTTATTTTATTTTTTTATGTTTATAAAAAAAAGTTATCATGCGCCAATCTACGATGCATAAGAAGCACGGATACAAAAAAGATATTTTTTTTGGTGAGTATTAAGCCCGCAATTTGAACATTAACATTTCCAATATGGCGGACGGGTATAGAACCCTCTTAAATAGTATTATTGTGTTCGACATAAAATATTTAAAAGTAATCCTTTATTCATGATTTTACCTATTGTAGATATAATACATCTTATGTTGCAACCCTTAGATATACCAAACCTTCCCACTGGCAATTCATTTGTATTAGCAAATTACATATTATAAGGTGATTAAAAGTCCCTTTTATAATATCACATTAATGATGGTTTTTAAAACAAATAATCGATTAAGTATGGATTACTTAAAACATTCGATTATTTTCGATTAATAGATTAAGATTATTTTTAATTAATCAACTCTTTGCTTAAGGTAGTTCACTCGCGACAGTGGTACATAAAAATATCACGTAATGGTGAATACCAAAAGTTCGAGATTCTCAAAAGACATGTATATAAACACATATGAACATGGTATAATTTTAATCAAATTCATCCGGCAATCTCGCAAATATTTAAACGATATGGTATAGAAATTTGTGACTTCCTCATACTAATTTTAAGGGTTTGGTTTGGTTCAAACAGAACCGCTGATTCCAGTTCTCAAACACAGTGGACGAATTAATTTTTCAAGAACACGTCGCGAGTTTATAACAACCTCTTAGCTGATCGAGTGTTACTTTGTTACGTGAAGTGGTTACAATGTTGCCAAGTTGTAATAATTTTACGAAACTACTCGTCAACTGCTTTAAAAATATTTTTATTTTAAAAATCTATATCTTTTTACTAAGACGGTCAAAAAATTCAGCGATTATATGTAAAATTTTATAACTTCTTGATTTAACATTAGTTTTTAAAAAATATGGTAAGAACCGTTTTCGAGATATCTTGAAATAAATGCATTGCTTGTGAACATGACAGGCTTCAAGAGCGTTAATTGTGCACATTTTGATTGTTAATATCTCGTTTCACAGGCGGTCAAAAAATCTCATTTTTTTTTAGTTACGTAAACGACACTTTCATAAACCTTATATTTCAATTTTATTGAATTCTTAAGAAAAGCCGTTTTACGATTGAACTACCTTAATCGATTGTTTAAGAATAGTCGAGAAATCGATATTCAAAAAATTGATTATTTTACATTAATCAGTTATTTTCAAATCAATTATTCAGAAAATCGATTATTAATCGTTAAAATTATTTCCGAATAATTTATTATTTTCGATTACTCAAGATTATTTTCAAATAAATTGTTCAGAAAATCGATTATTGTCGATTAATCGTTAAATTGATTATTTCTGAATAATCGGATTATCGATTTTTAAATTAATCGATATATTGATATTATTTAATTGATTTTTTATAATCGATTGTAATTAATTTATCGATTATAGCAAATTACATATTAATAGGATAATTAAAGGATCGCTTTATAATATCAAATTGTCGATGGACGGTTTTCAAAATAAATAAATGACACTCGATTATTTTCAATTATTCAGTAATCGATTATTTTCGCTTAATTGACTGTTTTAGATTAATCGAGAGATCGATTATTTTCCATTAACCAATTATTTTCAAATCAATTATTCAAAAAATCGATTAATAGTTATATTGATATTATTTGATTGATTTTGAAACTTATATTCGATTGTTATTAATTTATTAATAAGGTGATTGTTTTATAATATCGAATTATTGATGGGCGGTTTTCCAAATAAATAATCGATTATTTACGATTAATTGATTACTTCTATTATTCAATTAATCGATTCATTTTAATTACTAAATTATTTTTTAATAATCGATTATTTTTAAGTACTCGATTATTTTCGCTTAATCGATTATTTTTTATTAATCGTAAAATAGATTATTTTCGAAAAATCGGATTTTCGATTTTTAGATCAATCGATATATTGATATTAAATGTTTTTAATCTCATATTCGATTGTCATTATTTCATCGATTATTAGTAAAGTACATAATAAGATAATTAATGGATCGCTTTATAATATCGAATCATCCATGGACGGTTTTCAATATAAATAAATGACACTCGATTATTTTCAATTATTCAGTAAATCGATTATTTTCGACTAATATTATTTTCGCTTAATTGATTGTTTTCGATTATTCAATCGAATATTTTTAATGAATCGATTATTTTCCATTATTTTCAAATAAATTGTCCAGAAAATTGATTATTGTCGATTAATCGTTAAATTGATTATTTCTGAATAATCGGATTACGATTTTTAGATTAATTGATATATTAATATTATTTGATTGATTTTTTATATTCGATTGTAATTAATTTATCGATTATTAATAAATTACATATTAGGCATTCGTTTGTGAGCGACCATATTGCCTGGCAAATGTTCATTAATTTGAATCGGTTTAGCAAAAAAAGTGTTTTAACACCAATTTCCAGCCTTTGAATAGTAAAATAAAAATAATTACTACATTTTTACTTCAAGATATAAGCTTGTTTATTTTTAAAAACATGGATGATTAATCTACATAACTATCTATATGATTGATCCTGTCAAATCACCAGGCCCACACTGTTGCCATATTATAACCTATCATGTGCCTGTCAGTGGCCTGTCATTTCCTACGGGTAGCCATTTTGTTTGGAATGATTAATTGATAAGGTAATTAAAGGATCGCTTTATAATATCGAATTGTCGTTAAACAGTTTTCAAAATAAATAAATGACACTCGATTATTTTCGATTATTCAGTAAATCGATTATTTTCGACTAATCGATTATTTTCGCTTAATTGATTGTTTTCGATTAATCGAGAGACCGGTTATTTTTTATTAACCAATTATTTTCAAATCAATTATTCAGAAAATCGATTATTTTCGATTAATCGTTATATGATATTATTTCATTGATTTTGATTATTATATTCGATTGTTATTAATTTATCGATTATTAATAAGGTGATTGTTTTATAATATCGAATTATTGATGGGCGGTTTTCCAAATAAATAATCGATTATCGATTATTTACGGTAAATTGATTACTTCTATTATTCAATTAATCGATTAATTTTAATTAATCGATTATTTTTGATTAATCGTAAAATGGATTATTTTCGAAAAATCGGTTAGATTAATCGATATATTGATATTGTTTTTAACCTTATATTCGATTGTCATTATTTTATCGATTATTCGATTAATAAGGTAATTAAAGAATTGTTTTATAATATCGAATTATCGATGGGCAGTTTTGAAAATAAATAACTGATTGATTATTTAAGAGAATCGTTTATTTCGTCTATCGATTATTTTCGATTTTTTGATCACCCCTAGATGTCACTCTTATTATCCACAATGTTTTTAAAGTGTCATAAATGTCAGTCTAAATGACAAAAATATGAGTTTTATTTTACAAATATGAAACTGGCATGAGAGTTAAAAAAAAATGATACTTAACTTTAACAAATACTAATGAGTAGATGACAATGATTAACTGTCAGATGTTTGTAATGAAATAAGTTTACTTTGTAGTGATGGTAATACAACAGAGTTGTATGATAACAACCATATGACAACAATTAAATTTATTTCACTATCCCGGTAAGCCTTTTGTACCATAGCGATAATACAACATTGTGGACTACTAAATTCAATCAACACCAATTGGTCAAAACAGCGTCACGTAACAGGAATTACAGCATCAGTAAAATGGAATATACTCAATTTTATCCATTATTCATTTATGAGAAAATTAATAAAGTTCTAAGTGAAAAACCTTAACAATTTCGATGAGATTTAGTTTTAATTGGGCAAAGTCAAAACTTATGATGAAAATTACCTTCTTAGTTTTTTTTGGAGAAATAAGCTTATTGAACTTTTTATCAGGATCCTCCTTTTCTTTTTCTTTCGAAGGCGTCTTAGATTTTTTGCTGCTCGTGGTTGAAGTATTGTTGGTGGTAGTAGAACTAGACGTAGGCACTGGCAAATCAAAATTCGGCAATTCATAATTTGGATCTTCCTGGAAATTAATGTCACAAATTTAAAAAATTATGGGTATCATTTTATACAAATATTCTATATTAATGTTCATTATTCTTTATAAAAACAGTCAAAATTAATACAGGTAAAGAAATTAAAATTTTAAATTTAACTTTTAATGAATTGGACAATTGGAACAGGACCACCTGTGTAACAAAGACCGCTGATAAGCGAAGAGGGCCTGGCGTACGATAAGTACGACTCCCACCACACTCCCTTTTAGGCTCGTTTCTAAAAGATTAGACATAGATGATTCACATTTTAATTTCAGTACCTGCATGTTCGATTTTATGTATCACTTCTGTTGCATATTGAACAAGATAAATTACAAACGGGTCATAATTTTAAATACGTTGTAATGCCTTCGACTTTACATATATACTATTTGAGTAGTATTAGATAAAATTTTGGAATATGAACCCAAAATGTTTTTATCCAATGAGCCCAATACAACCACTTGATTTTCAATTCTAACTTTGATTTTTCAAACACCAACCCCATATCTATGTTATTTTGAATGAAAATCATGCAAGACGTTTATGTGACATTATAATTTTCACTCCGATAGTCAGATTCAATTCACAATAGATTTGAAAACGTTGATTTAAAAATTTAACATCTGTTTATGGTTGTTAAGGGAATCATAACGGACTAGTCTGGTAAAAATTTTAACAACAGTCATGACTGAACTGTCAGTTGTAACTGAACTCTCATTATTTTAAGTCACATTCAGAAACTTGTAAAATGATATAATTTTATATTTGATTTTAGGTTGTAAAAAGTAGTAAATTGCAGTATATCATAAAACGGATACACGCCCGTTACCTGTTCTCTACGTGCTCGCACGCTCACATGTAAAGATCTAGGTAATGGGCTTATAACGTAAACTACTATTATGTAAGATCACTTTAGTAAAAGTTTAAAATCATGAACTGCTTCGACCAACAATTTGATCATTCATCAGCTGACAGAACACACTTCAATTTAAGTTTATTACTGACAGCTGATTTTTGTGCAGCATGTACTGAAACCTGTTTGTTAAATAAAAATTATCAGAGTTGGGATGGCTGAATATGTATAATCAAAGAAAAGTGCATTTAGCTTGTCTGGTTTGTAAAGTACTACAGAGTTAAACACCATTTTATATTTTTAAAAAAACTGCCAGTAATTCCATCCAGAACTGCCATACGAGGTAGACATCTTTTTGTAGTTAATAAAAATAAAATCGGATATCTTTCTCTTATAATGCCACCAAATTATTTAATGAAATGCTTAATAATATCGTGTTAGGAGCTTTCTTGGACATTGAAAGAGCATTCGACTCTATCATCAGAACTTTGAAACATAGAGGAATCGAGGACATATATGTGACCTGGATAGACTCTATGGTAAGAGGGAGAATGATACATGCAACTATTATGGAAAAAACGATAGAAGCTCCCTTGGAAAAAAATGGCGATTATTTAATTTGATAATCGCCCAGCCCTATTCAGATAGAATAGGTTATTAGTCCAATCAAATAGACCATTGAATCAAAATTTTGGAGGAAATACACGAATTTTTGATAGTATTAGATAGATAGATAGATAGAGAGAATTTTTTAGGGTATGTTAAAACGACATGTAAAAAAAATTTGTTTTCTAGGCTCCGGCAAATGGCGAAAAACAAGAAAATAAAGTGTTTTTAAGGTTATTAAAAAAGGTAGGTGCTATAAAAAAGTTCTTAATAAAAATTGTAAAACAAAGTTTTGTATAAAAATGGTATTTTTTGGAATTATTAAAACTAACAGAGTTAGAAGTTAAGAGGAGATATATATGAGCTGAAAATTCAATGATTTTTTATTTTATTTTTATTATTTACGTAGAAAAATATAAACTTTCTTTTCAGAAAAATAATTTTTTTTCATTTGTTTTTTTTTTAAGCTATGACAATGTAGATTTACAAATTTTCAATATATTATACGACTTTATGTGGTAAAATAAATAAAAATTAACTTATTATGACTTGCCTGACATGAAAAATAGGAGTAACGAACTAATAAAAACGACATTGCGACAGTTTAGTCCCCACTCCATTAAATACATAAAAATTAATAAAAACAAATTAAAAAATAAAACTAAATAAAAATGATTAAAAATAAAAAAATAAATAGAATAAGTAAATAAAAATAAATATATAAATTAAATTACACAAAAATAACTAATTTAAATAAAAAGATAAACGTAAAAGAAAATAAATAAAAATAAATTTATTAAAAACAAATTAAAATAAATTAAATGAAATTGAAATAAATAAAATGAAAATAAAATAAATATAAACATGAAATAAAAATGAATAAAAGTAAACTGAAATAAACAAAAATTAAAAAATATACGAAATTTATTTAAAAAAAAAATAAAAAATAAATAAACAAAAAATAAATCATTAAAAAAATAAAGAAAATAAAAATAAATAGAAATATATTAAAATAAATTAAATTAAAAACAATTTAAATAAAAATAAATTATATTAATAAAAAAAAAAAAAACTAATTAAAAATGAGTAAAAGTAAATTAAAATAAATAAAAATTAAAATTAACACAAACTATTTAGCTTAATTTCGAATTATACCACTGACAGGTGGTGAATTTTGAATTAATGAGCCAGAAGCGTCCTTTTTATTCTACTAAATTTCAAAAGAAAATGTATATATAAAATGATGAAGAGAATAATATTAAAAATATTGTGTATTATCGAACACACGATGGAAGTATAATTTAGACGAATTCGCTCTGAAATAAGAAAGACGAAGACGAAAACTGCGTACAATAGCACTGGTGTATGATCTTATAACGTCAAACGGTAATATAACGACAATGCACGAACAACGATTGTACACAGTCGGAATGAGACTTCAAATGAGGATTAGGCTGTCAGGACATCGAAATATGTCATATTTATTAATTCAATTGCTATATTTTTCATGCCAGGACGAGCTAGGAGATGATTAATTTATTTATTTTTATATATTTTTAATTAATTTTATTTATTTATTTTTATTTATTTTTATTTATTTTTATTTATTTTTATTTATTTTTATTTATTTTTATTTATTTTTATTTATATTTATTGCTATATATTTATTTTAATTTACTTTTACTCATTTTCAATTAAGTTTATTTTTATATATTTCAATTTACTTTATTTTAATTTGTTTTATTTTAATTTATTTATTTTTTTAAATTTATTTTTATTTTCTTTTTTATATTTGTTTAATTTTATTTATATATTTATTTTTAATCATTTTTTTAATATTTTTTTTATTTTTTATGTATTTAATGGGACTTCAAGTCGTTTTTATTAGTTCGTTACACATATTTTTCATGTCAGGCAAGCCATAATAAGTTCACTTCAAAATTTATTTTACCATATAAAAGTCGTATAATATATTAAAAATTTGTGAATTTAAATTGTCATAACTTAAAAAAAACAAATGAAAAAAATTATTTTTAGGAAAAGAAAGTTCATATTTTTCTAAGTAAATAATAAACAGAAAATAACAGATCATTGAATTTATATCTCCTCTTAACTTTTAACCACCATAACTCTGTTAGTTTTAATAATTGTAAAAAATGCTAAATGTAATTTTTATGTAAAACTTTATGCTTTACAAATTTTATTAAGACCTTTTTTTATAGCACCTACCGTTTTAAATAACTTTAAAAAAGACTTTAATTTCTTGTTTTTCGCCATTTGCTGGGGCCTGAAAAACAAATTTTTGTTTACATATCTTTTTCAAATACTCTAAAGCGACTTATATCAAAAATTCCTGTATTTCCTCAAAAATTTTGATTCAAAGGTCTATTTGATTGGACTATTATTAGCCTTCAGTGTTGTCGGAGACTTACAGAGGAGCCCAGAAAAAAAAATAATATCAAAAGTGAAATAATAAAATCCTTTTTAATCTAATCCTGAGTTTATTCTATTACTTGTGCCATATTATACTTTTCACTACCTATGTTTGTTTCGTTTTTTTTTTGTATTAATTAATGTTCCATTCTTTTATTAATTTTATATTGCATAAATTTAATTATTCTTAATTTATTGGAGTTTGGTACTTGGTTGAGTGGAGCAGCTACACGCTGGACTTTGTCGAGGGTTTAAAAATAAAGACTTTCTATTATTATTATTATTATTATTATTGATGATCCATTTGGATCAGTTTTATTCCATACACTGTATAAATATCTCAGATTTCAACTCTTGTGAAAAATAGCCCTTGAATATTTTCAATAGCAACAGGTTTCCACTGATAGCTCATTTGAAAATCTTTATAATTCTCTATTTAATGGCTCGTTCTATATGTTGGAACAAACATAAAGAGATAGAGCAAAGCCAAAGCAAAAAAACTGATCTAATGAAAATATTTAGCACCTTCCAAATAGACAATTTAGTTTAAAGTTACCTAAAGGCTGTATGTCACGATACTGAATTAAGTACTAAATTTAGAACTAAATTAATGCATTTTTTAAGTACTAAAAAAATTCACGTTGCAAAAAAGTTATTAATTAATTAGATCTTGTTCTATTTTCTACTAAATTTAGTACTAAAAGTGCGCCGAAATGTTGCGCAGAAGTTTTTCATAGAAAAAGTTGACACGACGGTATTTTCTGTACCCTTTTATTTTTAATTAGCGACAATTTCACATTATCGCCTTGAATAAAGTTCGCCTGTTTGATTTTGTAGGTTTTATTGTGTTTTTCCGTGGTTTTTATGCTGTATTTGGTTGTCAAGTCAACTAGTATCAAATTGATAATAAAAACACCATTTACTTCACTTGTCTGTTTTACACAGAATATTTCATTTCTCTACTAATTTCACGTATTAATACGTCAATGCGCGTGCGCCCATAGTAAATTTAGTACTAAAAATTGGTATCGTTGCAAACGGAAAAAAATATTTTTAGTTCTAAATTTAGTACTAAATTAATGACTTAATTTAGTGCTAAATTTAGTACTTAATTTAGTATCATGACATACAGCCTTAAGAAGAGGGTATGTCATAATTTAGGAATAAATTATTATTTTTTTACTACTAACATGAGAAACTGCCATTATTTACTTATTTATCTAATGAGAAGTAATATTTCTCACCCTAGGTAAATAATGATAATAAAAAAACACCCAGGTAAATAATGTTTAATGAAATGAACAGAAACTCTATTATTAATTCTAAGCAAAAGTCAAATAAACTCGGAAATTCAACACTGGTAAGTAACATGATAAAAATTATTAAAAATTAATTCCATTAGTTTCATTTTGTTAATTTGACAACTTAACTCTCAGACTACTTGATATACCAAAATATCTGAAAAATAAGTAGGAAATAATTAATGCTGGGTTCATCAAAATCTAATCAAATCAAATGGGTGTTAGTAGTAAAAAAATTATGTATTTACTTCGGTAGAGAAGGCCATTATAAACCTCGCACATTATACCCTTTGGCTCGATAAATAATAGCTCACTTCTCAACCAAAATGTATAATGTATTATTTATATATTATTACTATAAAATGATTTCTACTTACAGCAAGTTTGCTTATAAATTCTTCAATTTCACTTATAGCTTTCTTAAATAAGGCTGTATTGTTGCAATCATAAAATTTTTCTTTGAAGTCTGCATAAGGTTTGATATTGTTGTTTTCGATCCAAGCACTAAAGAACAAAAAAATACAATCAAATTAGAATATTGTCATTATAAATTAATCCTTAAGCAAAAATGTAAATGCATAAATTTATAACCTTAACAATATATATTATGTAATAATTAAACTCCAAGACTATTACGAGTTTTAATCCTCCCACAAGTGGGAAGTGATATTGAATATCAGAAATAAATTATCTGTCACAAAGTGATACATGTATCTATGTATAGAAAATGTCACAAATCTATCTCAATAGAGAGAGCTATTTAAACAATTTCTAAAACATCATGTTCAAATAATGTATCACACTCAGTCATAGTTTGCAGCTAATTAGCTATTTTACTTCTTATTCTTTTTTTAAATACAGGTCAAAAATAATTAGACATTCTAAACAAAATGATTGCCAAAGGGAACTATCTTAAGGGGTTGCGACATAAATGTATTCTATCTACAACATATGAAATCATGAATGGATTTAATTTAAATATTTTATCCTAAAAAAATGGCCCATTTTATGTTGAACACCATGAAAATGTAAATTTTATACATTTTTCATAATTTGGCAGGCTTGACGACTACTATTTCGAATAAAAATAACATCCAAGATGGAAGACTATGTTGTGGTCCCCTTACATATACCAACCCTGCGCTCCAGTAGCTATTGTTTGACAGGTCGCTGGAATGCCTAATTAAGTAATGTAATGATATAAAATATGTCAAAGTGTTTTGTTTTCAAAACCAACTTAGTGAGAACATTTTAATATACATAGAGCACTTTTAAAAACATATTTTTTTAAATTATGGTTTCAAATTAAATCAGAGAATAAAATACAAATCTATATTAGCCCTAGGCAGTAATGATGTTTCCGCATCAGTATGTAATTTACTATTATCAGAACCAACAACAAATCCATATCATGTCAAATATTTTATCTACAACTGTCATAATATGGATGTATTATAATAATATGTGTATCTAAATAACAAAATACAATCCATATTTCACTAGAATATATTCACATCACACAGTATTTGTCTATTATACCCTTATAATATACCTCCAGTACATCACCAATATTTCAATTCACTGTTGGCACCAACAAGCAGCTCGTTGGGGCACTATTGAGCATGTGTATTGAGTCGTTTTCAGACGATGCTGCTTCATTAAACAGTGCTGAATTTATTTACAATGTTGAAATTATTTTTTGTTTAGTTAATTATAGGAGTTTTGATTTACACAAAAATATATTATTTAAATAAGAATAATTTCTTGACCGCAGCAGAATTTTATATAAATAAAAATTTTCCTTGGTTTATTCGGTCGTTTTTATTTTCTATTGTTTAGCACAGTCCTCTATATGTTTCGGAAAACTTTTCCATCTTCGGATGCAGTCAAAATTTAATAAAACATGGGGACGATTACAAACAATTTAATTTTTTTTAAAATAACAGAAATTCCAAAAATATATTACGTTCAGCGTTAATTTCAATCAGACTTAAATACAGATGTAGGTATATAAAGTATTTAATAGTTATTTAACGACCTAGTGTCTTAATTGCTTTATAATATAAGAGTTCTTTACAAGATTTTTTCGGCGACCAAAACTATTACAATGAAAAAATTAAACTTCAAATTTCGTACAAATTTTAATGTTTGATTGGACAGTGTCAATTTGCTTATAGCGTTACAAAAAAAAATATAAATATAAATCTACAGTAACTGCCTTGTTAAGTTATCAAAATGAAATATTGAGTGCTTTTGAGGGGGGTATCAAGTACATTCTGTCTATACTGACTTCTCAAAAGCATTCCATAGAGTTAACCATGAATTGTTGATCGCCAAGTTGAGCTCATATGGTATCAATGGTAAACTTTTAAATTGGCTATCTAATTTTTTAATTAGTAGGTATCAGTGGGTCAAAATTGGGAATCACATTTCTTATTTGATTGAAGTATTGTCTGGTGTTCCTCAAGGATCCCATTGTGGTCCGCTTCTTTTTAATCTATTTGTAAATGATATTGCATGTTGTATAAAAAAGTCTCAGTTCCTACTATTTGCAGATGATTTAAAAATCTTTAAAATTGTTGAAAGTATATCTGATTGTTTTGATTTACAGACTGATATTAACAACCTAGCATTGTGGTGTAATGTAAATTGTATGAATTTGAATTTAAGTAAATGTTTTTGTTTTAAGTTTAATAGGTGCCATACTAATATAGACTATACTTATTGTATCAATTTTTCAGAACACATTACAATGATATCATTAAAAGCCAGAAAGTTGTTGGGTTATATACAAAGAATCTCTAATGGTCTCTCAATAAATTCTTTTAAAATTCTTTACTGCACTTTTGTTCGTTCTAATATGGAATATGCAGCTGTTGCCTGGAACCCTTATTATTGCATTCACATTAATGGACTTGAAACGGTTCAACATAAGTTTCTGAGATGCTCAGCATATAAATAATTACGATTATGATAACCTATGTTCCAGATTAGAAATCACAACTTTGCAGAACCAGAGAACTCAATTAGATCTATGCTTCCTATTCAAACTTTTGTCTGGGTCAATATATTCTCCTGATATTTTATTAAAAATTGGTCTTAAAATTAATAGTGCAACCAAAGCTAATGAAACTTTTTTTATTAGACACCATAGACAAAATTACGGCTTTTATAGACCATCAACACGATTGGCTAGGAGTGCTAACAGTATAGAAATAGACTTGGATTTTTTGGTTCCTCATATCCTTCATTTAAAAGAAGTATTGCTAACCACTTTCTTAATGACACTTGAAAGTACTGTTATTGTCTGCCTTGTTAATCAAATGTTTTACATGATACAATTTTTGATGTTGTTTTTTATTTTGTATTTGTGCATATAACATATATTTTTATATTTTTTATTGTAAAATGGGGTTTTCCCGTAAATAAATAAATTAAGGATAGTTCACAGCAATGCGAGTATATTCATGGATAAAAGATTATTACTAAAATTGTGTCAAATAATGAAATAAGTTTGTCAGTACATTCACAAATTGTTGCCCAAGTCTGATGTTCATTTTTAAAAACCTAAGACCAAAACTGGTGCTCCTACTTTATCATAATATAGAGAACAAATATATTTATTGTAAATAATCTGTGTCAAAACATAGTTAGGTTATTTGCGATTTGATGGTAAAAAAATGAAATAAATTATTAAATAGATATATCAGTTTCATGTCTACTATTAATTGCGAACTACACTTGTAACAACGAAAGTAATATAAAACATATATGTGATTAGGAAATTTGTTACCTCTGTCTTCCAATTTTCGGAGCAATTTAATGTATCTGTATTCACCTAAATTGGTTATTTCTGATCCTAGGTCTGATATAATAGAGAATAAAAAGTGACAATACTGAACAATTTTTGAGGCATCAGATTGAATTGAGAAGACATAATGCAATACCGAACTCAACTAGTATAATGCTAGTCCAGTATATAATTAACATAGGTTCAAGAAAATTTACCAGTAAATCATATTTCTAACTGCAGTACCTGCTGTTAATAGTAATAAATATCATTTATTATTACCTAGTTATAGTTAATGTGCATTTTAATAAATAACATCATTTCAAATTTGTTTGATCACAGAAAAATCAACTATGAGAGGCCTAGAGTTTTTTCTTAAGCTTTAAACATTCAAAATCATGAGCTCATTAAAGGACTGCAAACATTTAATTGTTGCCTTTATCATGGAAACAATACCAATAGTTTAGAAACCATTTAGTGTTATATTGGAGAAATAAATGTAAATTACTAATTGTGTCATATTATATTAGCCCAATCAACATTGCTAATTAGATGATGGTTGCAGGTATGTGACAGTATTGCCTACCTATTTTTTGGGGTTATCTTTATCTAAAATGTGTAGTAGTGGTAGTTATTGTTTATTTCAGGTGGGTTTCTTAAACCTTTCCATATCTTATTACTCCATTATGCATAGTAGCAAAGTTTGAAATGAGTTTAATTTTTTTTTATACACTAATGGATTAAAAAATTATCTACGAGTAGGTAGGTACTTACTAATTTTTGCTGCCGAAAAAATATACCCATTGGCATTCCTTTCTTCCAGTTTTCTTCGGAGTGCTTGGGCCGGGTTGGACAATCTTTAAATCAAAATAAACAAATAGGTTAGTTTACCAAGTATACAAAGACGCGCGCACCGCGCGAGCTAACGGTTGGATTGAATAAGCGGCGGTAGAATACTTACACGAGCTGGCCAAGGAGAAAATGACACCATTTTGGCCCTAAAAACAACACAAAATATGAGAATTATTTTGAAGTTAATTCTAAGGAATTTATGTATTTTTATAAATTCTTACCATACTAAATCACCAACTTTTAATCCAAAATCCATTATAACAACCTTCTGTAATCACGTCTTTCCTCAAACTGATTGAAGTTTATTTTCTACTTTCGCGTTTCGCGGTGTACGACCTACGACGTTGTTTGACATTCCACACATGCGCATTTTGTGTCAAGCTTACTCTAACTCTGTTAGTTTGTTAATTCTCATGAGAAACCTAATGTCAACCAAACATGCACCAAAATCGATTGAAGTAGCTGCGATCGTTTAGTCAAGCTCCATTAACTTTTTTAATTCTAAATTGCCCTTTTAGCGTTCGTTTATTTCGATTAGTGACAGTTCAACATGCCTAAGTGATAGTTAAAACATTCTAAAAAACTGCTCCTGTCCGTTCCAACTCCGACTACCTAACCGAACTCACCTATGAATTGATATCAAGGATTTACAATTAGACAGGTTAACCTCGTTTCCTAAATCTCTTTGTGAAGTGCACTGTTGCCAAACGTAGATTTGACGTCACCGCAGAACCTCGCATGCACTTTTTTATACGTATGTAATGGGTCCTATGATTGAACGTTTACGTTATCCGTAACATACATGTTAGGCTCAGTTTTAACAGTAATTATGGCAAGTTCGTATAATGAAAAACGGTTTCCAACACATTACTGTTATTTTCCGCCTGTTATGTTCTAATTTAACAGTTTTCCATCATACAAACTTGCTTCGTTACTGTTAAAATTCGACCTAACATGTACGTTATGGATAACATAAACGTTCAATCATAGGACCCATTTTAAGTTGTTAGACTCAAAAATTATCTTTGGTATATTAGCGCACGATATAGTTTATTACGTTAATAGTATGGAAAGTTACATTTTTCAAACGAGTGGGAGATATTGTCGCACGAGGCATAAGTCATCAAAATTAAAACTATTGTGATTCCATTTACAAACAGTTTCATGAGATGATAAAGATGAGATAAGGGGTCCTATGATTGAACGTTTACGTTATCCGTAACGTACATGTTATGCCGAATTTTAAAAGTAACGAGGCAAGTTCGTATGATGGAAACCTGTTAAATTAGAACATAACAGGCGGAAAATAACAGTAATGCGTTATGAAAGACTTTACATCATACGAATTTGTCTCTTTACTGTTAAAACTCGGCCTAACATGTACGTTACGGATAACGTAAACGTTCAATCATAGCACCCAAGATTAGGTACAAAAATATTAGAACACAGAATATTTTTCATTAGTTTATTTTTTACCATATAAATTGAACAAACACTTTTTTTATTATTAATGATTTTGATTACCCACTTCTCTACTCACAATATTTTTCTGAACAGTAATTAAAATAGTACAAAACAAATAGCCAAAAGAATATTGTAGATAAATAATAATTGTCTCATAAATAACATGTATTTTAAACAGATAAACAACAACGCTAGCTTAGCGGATAATTGTAGCGGCACCAGGCCGGACCATGCTCATTTTTTGTAACTTTTTTGTAGCTTTTTTGTTACGCCTGTCTCGATTTCGTTGCGAGGCCTGAACGTGAGTAATAGAGTAATAATCGTTTCTCCATGAGCGTGAGAGAAAAGTGCGTTAATTTAAAGGCAGTGGCTCCATGTCCGATATCGGATACGCAGCTACGCGCTCTCCGCGTCCGACCTCGTACTGCTGCGTTTGAGAATCCACATCGGATGCATTTTTTACATCTCGAGCGTTTTTTTATCCACATCGGACACATCTGTCCCATTACATTTACGTATACTAAATCACGTGATCAAAGATTTTTTACATCTCAGATGCATCCGATGCGGATTCTCAAACGCGGCAATAGAGCATCAAATTCTGCATGTCCTTCGGCGTCGATGTGCTGCCGTCTTTCTTTAAATTTCATAATAAGTAATTATTCATCATGGGTCGTATTTTTAAAAGCGAAGAAGAGGGTGTTCCTTAAGTTACTAGTGTTACTACTCATCTAAGAATTAACTTTTTATTGTTGCATTTTATATTTTAACATTTCATAATAAACAACCCAGCAAACATTTTGGTTTAATTTGACGTCGAGACTACCTAAAATATGTATAATAAATTTGGTCGCAAAATTAGATTTAACCATATTTAAGGAAAATTTACGTTATCTCGACGTGGATTCGACATAAGTGGAGAATAAGATGACGTCGAAATTTGGTTTTATTGACCAAAATAGGTAAAATTACGCCTAAATCCACATTATAGTAGCCTTCTACGTTTGGTTAGTAATACTTCTTTAGGGAAATTTGACGTCAATATAACGTCAATTCGAAGTTGATTTAACCAGCTTTAGGTAGAAACTACAAATATTTTCAGATGACGAACAACTTCAAGTGCACAAAAAGATAAATTTTATACTTATTTGGTATTTTTATCTATAGAAGTCGAAATATTGTAGGAAGTGACGAACACAACTAAAACATATACTTAACTCATAGCAAAGATTGAAAATAAATAAATGTCGGTAACAAAAGTATATATATTATTTAATTACGACGAATCAATAGGTTACGTTTGTTAAAATATTTATTTTGTCGTGAATGTTAACAGTTCTACTTTGAAAAATAACAATGTCCTTCCAAAATACTCTTTTATAAGAAAAAATATAAGAAGAAATATTATGATTTAAAAAAATTATAATAATATTATGAGCTAAAACTATGATACATTTATTGTGTATCACTTTAGAAAATCAATAATGTTTTTTTTGTGATTTTTATCCGTTCTTTTCTAGTTAAGTTAATTTAAAAAAATTGAAATTTGGAATCGTATTTCAATTATGTTAAGAAAATATGGCGTATTGTGCTAATACGACTTAAAAGTTAATACGACTATGAAAAACTACGTATTTTACAAATGGCTTTTGACTAAGTTGAATTACCTTAAAGATAACGACATGTTAGTTAATTTTACCTATTTAAAGAATTAATAACTTGTAAGTTTTATCAAAAATTTACCTGTAGGTAAATGTAACATATTTAGATCACCCTATTTTTGGAAATGCTACCTATTAGTAAATTTCAGCCATGTTAAGTGTAAAGTTTTATTTAACGTGTGTTGACAAATCAATTTACTGGATACTGGAGTAATTTGTTTATTTTTCACGTTATACTGCGTTTGACTTTACGAAAAAAATCGAAAGTACCTATTATTTATTATTTTTTGCATTGCTTTATAACTCTATCTATACGGCAAGAGAATTAAGTTTACCATTGCAACGGTTTTTTAAAATGGCCGAAATTCTTAAGAATTAGGCATTCCAAACAAATGAATTACCAGTGGGCAGGTTTGGTATATCTAAGGTGGCGACATATGGTGTATTCTATCTACTTTACGTAAAATCATGAATAATGGATTACATTTAAATATTTTATGTCAAACACAATAAAAATAATATTTAAAAAACCCACCTATACATTTTTTCATAAATTGGCAGGCTTGGCGAGTACTACTTCGAATAAAAATAGTGTCCAAGTTGCAAGACTATGTCGCTACCCCCTTAAATATACAAGAATTTCCCACTGGCACCTATTGTTTGACAGGTCGTTGGAATGCCTAATAATGACGAAGACAATAAGTGAACAACCTAATTAGGCATTCCAAACAAATGAATTACCAGTGGGCAGGTTTGGTATATCTAAGGGTGGCGACATATGGTGTATTCTATCTACGTAAAATCATGATTAATGGATTACATTTAAATATTTTATGTCAAACACAATAAAAATAATATTTAAAAAACCTACCTATACATTTCTTCATAAATTGGCAGACTTGGCGAGTACTACTTCGAATAAAAATAGCGTCCAAGTTGCAAGACTATGTCGCTACCCCCTTAAATATACAAGAATTTCCCACTGGCACCTATTGTTTGACAGGTCGTTGGAATGCCTAATTAGGGTACACGGATCTTGACGTCAACTAAGATTGCACTTTGTAACTAATTCATTTTACTATGATGTTGATCAGATTTCCACCGGTGGAATCTTATTATAATTCATCAAATCATTCACATTCACCGCCAAAATAATCCTTAATTGTCTAAAGGGAACAAACTTTAGAATGTGAAAAAGCTACTAACTTTTAGTAAAATCTTTAAAAAGTTCATTCAATTTTTGCATAATATCTGCTTTTATAATGCGAAATAAATTTTAAAAGAATAATCAAGTGTCCGAATAGTGCCACTATACAGTGGTCGTGGTCTGAAGTTAGTTATATACACATGAGTGTAAAATTGTTTATATCTATGTTCAAAATTGGTTAGATCTCTTAAAATGTTTTGAAAATTGGGAAACTAGACGCTATGACTCAAAATCCTTTCTTAAAATACCTAACACAAGCTCCTGTCTTGAAATAAACATACAGATATATATTTTTTTTTTTTTAGTTCAATTCCTACTTTGATGAAATATGTGTTTTAAACTCATTTGGGCCAGACCGATTCTGCCTGGTGAGCACTCGGCAAGCCAAGCAATTAGGCATTCCAAACTGAATGCCTATCAGTGGGCTTTGACGGGTTATGATATTGCAAAATTATGGCAACCCTGTAGACCTGGTGATTTGACAAGGTCAATGAAATAGATAGTTACATAGATTGATTATCCATATTTTTCAAAATAAACATAAGCGTATGCCTTGAAGTAAAAATGTAAGCAATTATTTTTATTTAATATCTAAAGGCTAAAAATTGGTTTTAAAACACATTTTTGCTAAACCGATTCAAATTAATAAATATTTGCCAGGCAATATGGCCGCTCGTAAACGACCAGCTTTGAGAAATCTATATATGTATGTATCATTGACCCTGTTAATGACAACAGGGTTGCCATATCTAAACTGTCATTACCCACTGGTAGCCATTTGGACAGGTTGTTGGAATGCCTAATATGACCCGCTTTTCGTCGTTTTGTTTATGTATGGATGAGCAGTCTATTAATCTATATATGTCATTGGTCTCGATTTATTTTCGTTGTCTCAGGGCTGGTATATCTAAGGGGGTCGCGACA